GTGATCGGCCAAGGTCCGGGTGACCAAGAGTAACCACCCCCGCCCAAGATCGCTACATCCGACTGCGCCACCTACGTGAAAGGACGACCACAGCCACCTCAACCGCGTCCCAAATACCCAGACTGCACAGAATCTCCGACCAGACCGTACGAAAATGTTTAAGAGCAGTAGGTCTGCGAGCAAGACGTCCTGTTCGACGCGTCATATTGAGTCGACAACATCGTCAACAACGACTGCTTTGGTGTCGTCAACACAGGTTATGGCCTCAACTGCGATGGAGAGAATGTCTGGTTCAGCGACGAATCAAGATTTCTCCTCCGTCGAGGGGATGGAGGAGCACGGGTCTACAGACGTCGGGGAGAACGTTAAGCCGGAAACTGCGTACAGGAAGTGGACAGGTTTGGTGGGGGTAGCGTTATGATGTGGACGGATATCTTTCATCATGGCAGGACAGGTTTGTTCCATATCCAGGGCAATCTTACGGCTCGGCGAAATATCAACGAAATTCTTCTACCACGCGTCCTCCCAATTGCAGCCAACGGCAACGGTGTATTCCAGCAGGACAACGCTCGACCGCATACAGCACGGATCACAAGAGCCTGTCTACAACAACGATGATGTTCTCCCCGACCTTCCAGATCCCCGGATTTGAACCCGATAGAGCACCTGTGGAATGAATTGGATAGACGGCTACGCCGACGTCAACCACAACCCCACACGTTGCAGCAGTTGGCTTTTGCGTTGCAGACCGAGTGGGCTACCATTCGCTGCCATTCCCCAGGATGTGATTCGCATAGTCGTCTCTTCCATGGGCAGGGGATGTCAGGCCGCTATCGATTCCAAGGGGGGACATACGCGTTATTGATGGTAGCTGACCTTCACCGTGGACTTTTCCTATGTACCGATTACTGAGATGACAAAAATCACCAAGTGTTCTCTCCAAAACATTTTGGCTCAATACCTGTACGGTTCCTCGTATAAGTGTATTTTCCTACCTCACACAAATCTTTTTTTTTGAAGAGTGTATTTAAAAAATGATGAAAAATATGCACATGATTTTTGACCAAACATATTTTTAGTCACCAGAATATTGCATACATGTATTACATTTGTTAAAATCGTGGAGGCAGTGGAAGAAGTCGAGCGAGTGGACTCGAGTGTTCTTCTGATATGCTGACTTATATGTGTTCATACAAGACGGCGGCAGTCCAAGCAAAATGATAAATGGTATGTCGAGTAATGAAATAAGATTATTATAATAATATGATGAAACATTACATGTACAGAAAACAACTTATTAATAAATCTCTTTAATATATCATATATTTTAGTCTGGTACGATACTTCTCTTCGTGTGGACCATGGTTTCATTGGACAGTTCCGAATGTGAATAAGAAAGACCGCACGATTATATTGTTGTAGATATTATATTTATCCACTGTCGTTTCTGAGCGCCTTGACATGTACTCCAAAATGCGATACCATCAAAGGAATTTTGTGTTCTGTAAGGGGTTTCCTTTATTAAAATCGCAATTTCCGAATCGAGGTTGTGAAAATTAGAGCCGGATCGTTTGCCAAAGCTGCCATTGGATTGGGTCAAGGATCCACACAGCCTTCAGGTAGATTTGGCGTTCATATCTTGACACTGAAAGGTCTTCACGCTGAGAGGTATCGTATCGTCATAAAAGATATAATTTTAATTAGATCGATTATTAATGAAACAAAGCGTCGTGTTAATGATCCAATAACAGGAATATGTCTTCACAATGATACATAAACTTTGAACTTGAACTTAACTTCTGTGTGATGAAGGTCTTAGACTTCTACCACTTCGGTAAAACCGACGAGCACGGGTATGGTGCTGACAAACCTAGAAACATAATCGGGGCGAACCGGAATTAGAACCCACAATCATAGGTTTCTGGCATGTCCAAGACTTGCGGCGCCTCAGACGACCATTATATCAAGGAACATAAGTTAAATGAAAACAGTAACCATCTTAAATATGGCTCTTATGGTTTTCTCTTTTCTCTCTTTTATGGTCTGAAAACGAAGCAATGCTGGAAGATGAACTTGAGACATATTACACTGGATAACCGAGGATGGTCGCTACCAGGGATATACAACAAATCCAGTAACATTAATTTAGATTAGAATGTGGCTGTATGCTCATTTTCGTTGTATCCGGAATTGGCACATCTTCAGATTTTAGGTTTTATCGATATGTTTACATGAACATATGTAATATTAAATACATTCGTTAAGTCACTGAGAGCAGACAATGTTTTTCGTCTTGCTTACCTATCTTAAAAACATATTTCGTCAAGGTCCTAACTAAAAGGAATCGTTTAACGATGCAGGTCCGGAAAGTATCATGATTGTTCTTGTATCAATGATTGTATCAATAACAAATCCGAGAAACTTGAAGGGTGCTGTGCAAACGCGGATTACTGAGTGTTCGGATAGATTTTACGACACTTCAGTCAACTTTAGCTAATTTTCATAATCGACGCGTTTTGTTTGTTTTCTTGTTTAACGCAACACACAAGAATATTCCAGCTACATGTACGTCGAAATATAATCGAGTCTGGACAATACAGTCCAACGATGGACATCATGCGGAACGATCAAAGCAACTGGGATCCGATGACATACAATCAACCAAGTCACCGAACCTGACTTCCCACAGCATTTATAGGCTATAGTGAGTGGGTATGGTTTTACGCCGCTTTTAGCAATATTCCAGCAATGGGACACCAGAAATGGGCTTCACACATTGTACCCATGTGGGGAATCGAACCCAGGTCTTCAACGTGACGAGTGAACGCTTTAACCACCGCACGTGGCTACCCCACCGCCCCCGTAGACGATGAAACCCACGAGTCTATGTATGGTGTTGAAATATCAGGAATTACAACCGGGGCGTGTCATGAACGGCGGATCCGGGCATGGTTAAGGGGAGATCATAGCATCGAGGTGTAACACCAGCGACCACTGGTCGACCCCGTGTCCGCTCGACCACACGGAGACCCGTACATAACTAATTCAGTTGGCCAATACTATGGTGGTCGAGAGGTGACATCGCTTTCTCGCTTGAGTTACGACCGCGAGAAAGCGCTAACACGAGAGAGAGAAAGCGATAACGCGAGACGACAAAGCCATAGCACGAGACCACAAAGCGATAGCACGAGACGGGAAAGCGATCACACGAGACGAGAAAGCGATACCACGAGACGGGGTGTTTGTCATGTTGTTTTCTTCATTTTGGGGGGCTGGGGTGGGTTTTTTTCATAAGAAAGAGCTGAGATTTTTTCCAGTCATATTTTAAATTATACCTATGAAGGGACTGTTGAAATTCTCTGTATTGCAAAGCACAATCTTATAATTGTGGGTGTTCTTTAACTTGTTTTGAGTAGTATATGATGTTACATTGTGAATGCCATAGTATTGTTGCCCGTAAATATTCTTTTTGACATTTGATTTAAGATCAACTTGTATTGTGTCTCTTGTTGTGTGCAAATCTACAAGTATGTGTACTTGCATATACAGTAGTATATGTAGTAATTTGATAAACACCTCTGTGAGTGAGTGAGTGATTGAGTGAGTGAGTAAGGTTTTACGCTGCCTTTAGTGATATTCCAGCAATATCACGGCGGGAACACCAGAAATGGGCTTCACACATTGTACCCATGTGGGGAATCGAACTGGGTCTTCGGCGTGACGAGCGAAAGCATTAACCAATGGGTTACCTCACCGCCCATCTCTGTGACAATGGTGTTATCGCAGTTGATATGTGTACTTGGGTAAATTACACATATGGAGAGACATCCTAATCATGTGTGTGTGTGTGTGTGTGTGTGTGTATGTGTGTGTGTGTGTGTGTGTGTGTGTGTGTGTGTGTGTGTGTGTGTGTTTTGGTTTGTGTGTGCATTTATGTATGTCTGTCTGTGTATATATGTGGTATATTACATAACTCACATCAGAACGCAAATTGATAACAACCAGACAGTTTGATCGATGGAGATTTGTTACATAACTATGAATATGCCTGCTTGAACAATGAGCTACTATATGTAGAATATAACACATCAGAGGGTTTATATGAGATTTAAAACCCGAATCCAAGGTTTAACACCGAGGGGGTCAGCCAGGATCCGAACCCTTTCCGATCATAGGTTTCGGGCGTGCAATTTTATATGAATTTTATACGTGTATGTAACTGATGATACATTTATGTATCTATGCAAATGCATCATGTACATATTTTGTTTTAATGAAAAGACATACATTATAAGGTATCCACTCTTCATAATATTTGTAAACAAACTAATGACTGACTGACTGACTGACTGACTGACTGAATGAATCAATAGTAGAACCAGAAAAGTCAAAGGTAGCATATCAGCCACTCAAATTCCACGCAAGCGTTATGACAAATGTGTTATGTTACCTGTAGGTAAGTGTATTGCACTTGTTCGCGTCATTCAATCTTTGCAATCTCACAATAATGCGGAAACAAGTAAAAGGATTTTATATCTTGACTTTCATAAACCAAACGCTTTCGTAAGCGTTTTACTGCATAAACTACAAATACCTATAATTAAAGGAAACGATTTGTAGTGCTATATGTGACACATAAATCCTCGATTTATTATAGAAGGCTGGCATTTGTTTCAGGCTGACGTTTCTATTTATTAGAAAGTCGTTTGTGTGAACCAATCACCCAAGTGCTCGCTTGCTGGTTTACCCAACCAATAGTCTGCCGCCCAGACACTACATAAAAAATGAGTCCAACTCGAACCTAGAATGTTTGGGCCTGGACAGGATTGACTAAGCTCTACGTAATCAAGCATTTTCTGGGCTCCATTCGAATTTTATTATTTTATTTTGGAGATGTATATATCTAAATAAGTTAACTTTATTTCTTGGACTTAATGTCAGGCTACTCTACCAATAAACAAATGCTTCTGGAGAATATTGGGAGTAGCCGCCCTTTGAACGTTCTCCTTTCTTATTCTTTCATTTATCCAGACCAATATAATGTTTATTGATACAATTCCCAAACTGTTCAATCGAGGTAGTACATCCGACGATCTGCTGAGAAAACTAAACAAAGTCAACATCGGATTTTGTGGTGACGAGGCTTTTATTATGCAATGTTGATACTCAGTTGAAGCCATTTTGGTTGCGTCGAATTGTTTTCATGCGTGTTTGTTCAGTTTTACATGCAAGTAATAAACGCTGTAAAACTTTTCAGTGACACGGGCTGCAGACCAATCCATAGCCATTTTTAGACATTTTTCGCACATTGTTGATTGCTGGCATGTAAACTTTGTTATGAATGGGAATATAGCGAAAGTTAGATTGTTACAATCATGATAAGCATGACCCAACGACTACATCGGTTTGGATCGGAAGTGATAAGTATCGTTTCATAAGGATATAGGCTAATTTCTAAATGAGAACCAGGACTATGTTAGGTTGAACATGGCTGGCTATGGAGATGTCACTGAGCGTGTCAGGTCATTAATGTGTCGTTTATTATCATTAGTACTACTGTATGTTTGCCATCATCAGTGATATAGTGAACTGTGAGTGGATGCGGCTACCTCAGTAAATGTGAATATCATTAGCCAAGTGTAAATTACTGTAAGGGGCTAATTTGTAGTGATTCTAGATAATTTCTATCCGCTGAAAATGACCCGAGTACAGATCTCCATGGGAACACATTGTCTAGTTCTCATTTGTAGCCTCATTTGCATCTAGTTTGCAAATTGACTGCAAATTTATCCATGTTTATGTTTGATAGTCGACTGATTCTCATGATGATTGTATTTTGTTTACAGACTAGCCATGGAGCAAACATCCTTGTCACCAACAAACTGAAACTGGGACCAAAATAGTTTTCCTCAACAACCATTTAACATGTTTAGACAGTTTATTGATACCCACGCTGGCTAGGAATATCCTGAAGGAAACCATCGAGATATGACTGTCAGCAGGGATTAGTGTTTAAACAAAAGCCAAATGTACCATTCTTCTAGATTTTCTAAGCCAGCTTGTCCAAAATCTACATTCATGCCATGGAAGTGGCTGCAGTCAAGGGAGACGGGATCTCCAATTCAGACTGGAGAGACAAGCAAAATCACAAAAACATTCTATTCTTCGGTGAAAGCTGTCAACAGCTGGGACCCCAACAGGAACACAGACCACTGTCACCATGGAGGGATATTCAACTTTGATTTTTCTGCTGATGGGTAAGTTCTGGAAGAGCAGAAAATAATGTCGGTGGCATTACATTGCATCCCACCCATAAATATAAGCATGATCATGGTAATATATTTGGGAGAAATGATCAATTTTCTTTAAGGTTTTTGGGGTCACAGAATTCAGACAGGAGCATGTTTCTTGTTTTGGCAAACAGTGAGGATTGGCACCTTAACTTTGAGTCAGTCGGTAAATCAGACCAATGTTTTTTGACATTCATCTGCTGCAAGCTCTCATGTAGGAACACTGAAAGGTGTTCGATGTAAACCCTGAAAGTCAAGGGTTCTTGTCATTGTCCTCACCTTAAAAGTTAAGAGATTTAGGATGTTTATGGGGTTTATGGGAAGACCTCAAAGAACCCAGTAATTCTTAATTTGAACACTGAAAACAGATAAGTAAATAATGAATCTAATGTTGCAGCATCATTGAGATCTCCAGACATGCAACCAGTTCCATATGGACATGTACATGTTGACACAGGTGCTGTGGTAGCCAAATTGTTATAGCAAAGGCTCATCATGGCTACAATGTGTGAAGCCTATTTCTGGTGTGCTCCCCCAACATGTTAAAAAAAATGTTAAACTCTACCCACTCACTGTATAGACAGTTAACTGGTATCCATGGTGACTGTTTCAGGTCGGTTTTGGTGGCAGCCTGTGAGAGGCAGAGTATACTCATGTTTGACCCCTTCAATGGGAAACTCGTCGGTCACAAGGACAATGCCCATCAAGACTGTGTCAACTGTGTCAGGTAAGGAAGCGATGCACTGAGCATGCAGAGGGCTTGTGATTGTAATTAGTTCACCATGACCCAAAGGGATCAGCCATTAATTATTTTTTAGGGGTCCTGAGATTTTTTCAGTCGCTGCTTCAAGACAATTGTGCTCTGAAAAGAGGAGTCAAACAATGTTTTTTTCACAGCACATTATTTTCAGGACATTTCACATGTCCAGCAAACTTATTTTTTTGTGTCTGTGAAATCTGCAGCAAAGTTGTTTTCTTTGGTATTTTCTGAAACAAATTATTTGAAAAAAGAAAATTCTAGGTTCCTCCTCAAATTTTCAATGGTATGTCCTCAATACACAAGTGTGTCCAAGGGGGCCATGTACTGGTGACAGATCACAAATCAGGCGATGTTGAGCAACTTTGTTCATGGAGAGTAGGTGGATGGGTTGCCGTGTTCGGCAGTTTGGCTCCTGAGAGTTTCGAAGGCTTCGGTCCTGCCCCACACTGAAACACGAGTCCCGTTTTGTGTCTCAGTAGGCAAGTGATTTTGTTCAGACTATGTCTCTGTCCACATAGCAGTGCATGGGTGCCAGGTAGGATGAGATGGTATTGTGACTGTTTTCCTGCTCGGGCCTCATATGCAGCTTGAACTGTGTTTTCTCTTGGGAGCTGAGAATAACATTGGAGACTACACTGATGGGGGTAGAAAGGGTGTTGCAGTTTAAGCATATAAGTGTGTGGAATCTTGTGAATTATAAATATATACTCATTATCATGCAAATAATGTTTGATCAGTCCTACCATTAACATTAGTATATTGTGATAATGCTGCTGCTTTTGCTGAAGTGAAGCTAATAATGAAGCTATCCTTCTTTTACTTTGCACTTTTCTTATGTATGACAGTTATTAAAGCCTCCATGTCTGAATGATGAGATCTGCTTGGTTCATGTGATCTTGATAAATAATGTGTATCCCGCCTTGGTATCCTGCCAACGGCGGAGTAAATCCCTTTTATTACTTGCCCGTGAAGAGATCACCTGTTTAATAAACATACAGCTTTATTACACATTGTGTAATACCAAAACGCGTGCTAATGTACTCTCGGAACACGTTTCACGAACAAATATTGAAAGCTCTCAACATCCCTTGGCGTATTCAACGACATTGTGTGTGGAGATGATAGATCACTGGGATGAGCTTATGCACACTCGATGACCCCAGCAACCTTGTTGCTAGGCTGACGTCACATGGCATTGTTTCGCAGATGGATCTTGCAACAAAATTCAACAAATTACGTCATCGGGTATTGTGACGTCATTGTAAACTTTGAGCTGCAAGGCCCCGTTTCACAAGGCGATCGTACTCTAGCGCAACGAGAGTCTTTAGTCTAAGTTAAATTATGTGAGTTGTGATAGCCTTATCACTACGATAATTTTGTGGGACGAACGCCTGAATTCTAAAGGTGGACTATTGTATGATATTAAATTCATACGTTTCAACTTTTGACGTGTTTTTAGTATTATTCTGTTAAACTCAATTGGATTATCGTGTAGGTCTCAGCCTATTTACACTCAACAGTATAATTCTAAAAACATTATAAATGACAAGTAATAAATAAAATACTAAACTCGCTCTCGTGTAAAACCAATTTTATGAAACTCGTGAATAGTTGTGGTATCTGACTCGCTTTCGCTCGTCAGATACCAGAACTATTAACTCGTTTCTTAAAATTGGTATTACACGGGAGCTCGTTTAGTATTCTATATATATCCTGCATGAACAAGTCAGGTTGCACATGGATTTCTGAGAGGCAGAATACATCCCTTATACCATCCATGTTATACCCCACTTCGAAGTAAAGAGCCGCAATGAAAGTCATGTGACATAGTACAAGTTAACCTCAACTGAACAGCAGCTTTCTATCTATTTTGAATTTGTTTGAACTCTTTTACAATGTCATTAAAACATGTCAGAAACTGTATGTTGACGTTAAGGGTCAAAGGTAGGCTAACATTTAGTCTCTGAAATCTTATTTTACACAATATAATATAATTCTTGACTCTAAAAGAAATAAAAATCCCTATGCTGATTTCATGTGGAATAGAGCTAGCTAGAGCTGGCTAGACTTGCTTTTGTATGCGTTTCTAGATTATTGTTTTTTCATAAAATAAATATATTCCACAGTTATGGTGCAGGACTAGGTCAAAGGGAGACTACTCATCAAACCTTAGAGGTCTTATCCTGTTGAAAATTTTAACTATAATCTTTATCAATAAAGTCACGCACGTGATCTAAATAACAGATTATTGTCCTTACACATCACAATTAAGGATAGTAAAACACAAAACAGTGTCAAATAACAAAATTTGGTACCAGCATTTCCATGTGAAATATGTGAGGTGGGTGTTGGAAAATCCAAGATGGCTGTTACTGATGGTATATGGTCTCATATTTGGTCAGTATCAACCATCTTGGATTTTTTCTGATGGTATACAGGCTCATGTGGGGTCAGTAGTTCTGCTCTCTGATTGGTCAATCTCACTTTGAGGCATAATAAAACCTAATGTGAGGTGCATAAAACCCCATGTACACCTCGTGATCCTGCTTCATCATATATTGTAACCCTCTACTTTCCATGCCTAAAACCCAGGTTGGAATCGCCACATGAGTACAGTGTGTGAAGGCTGTTCTTTGGTGATGATATGGCTGAAATAATACTATTGTGGCATAAAACACTCCTCACTCTTGCTCACTTTTATCGTGACTACCATGCTGGTTTCCACATTTCAGATTCCTTGACACTCGAACATTTGCCACCTGTTCGGATGATTCCACAGTTGCATTATGGGATGTGCGGAACCTGCAGCAGCGCATACGGACGCTGGAGGGTCACTCGAACTGGGTGAAGAACATTGACTATGCCTCAAGTCTGGGTCTACTGGTAACTTCAGGGTTTGATGGCAGTGTCTACACCTGGGACATCAACAAGTAAGCAGTGAATTCAAAATAGTGCAGTGGTCTCAGGTGCCTCAGCTTGATGTGAAGGGTTGCATTCCCTTAAAGCCATTATGTTTGTTTTTGTTGGAGCACATATCCGTTGAACCTATGTTCTTCAAAATTGGAAGAAAATCCAAATTTACGCATTTTTTCCTGCTGACACGTCATACACACACAATTATTTTGTGATTGTTCAGTGTTTTTGAAAAAAACATCCATAAAACTTATGATGCTCAATTTGACATCGATATTTTGCAGATTTGTTCATTTAAAAAGACGTAGAGAAATTCCTTGCATGATAAGTCTAGAGTTATGTCCCTTGTCCTTGCTACACCTGAAGACAAATGGCATTGTTGGAAACAGTCCTTTGTTTGCCTACCAGAGGCGTGTTCAGGAGGGCGAGCGACTGCACAAGAGTACAGTGAGGCAATATCACGCCTCTCTGAATGGGAGGCGCGTACTCGCTCTCGCGGCACAGCATCCAAAATGGTGTCGCCGGGGATCAAAACAGCCCTGTCCACAAGTGTCATAGGTTCACACATTTAATTTCATCACAAGTTTGATGGGTTCATACTTGGATGTTCATGATAACAAAGTGTTTATTTTTATTATTAGTTACATGTCCCTGTGCTGGACCAGACAATCCAGCATCGATGTGTGCAATGGGGATATGATGACATGCATCACCCAAGTCAGCGAGTCTTATCACTTGATCCTTACGGCAAACATATGGGTTGCGGAAGACCTATTGTCTTCCCTGATCATCACGGGTCAATATATTGAAAATGCAAAAATAACTTTTTGATGGTAGATCTGGTCTAACAGATTATTCTTTTGTCATCGGTTCCATTCTCGTCAAAGGCAAACATTTGTTCAATGTGCGACGCCATCTTGGATTACGAGGCGAACTACGCTCGATCGCGAGTACACGCTCGATCGCGAGTACACGCGTGGTTAGCCGTGTTCAACAGCGTGCACTCGCGTAATATCACGAGCGCCCGCCCTCCTGAACACGCCCCTGGATTACTGTCTGGATGTGATGGTCTTGAGAATGTGAAACCTTCCAGCTCCTCAAAGATTTCATGTTCTGTAAATTGTGAAATTAATGCGAGTTTGAAATTAATGTGACACATTTGTAACTGGACATACTGGAGTATGTTGTCATGTCAAGTTCACTGCACACGACAGGAAACAATGACATACTGTAAATCTGGAAAGTTTTGTGCCATAAAATTATCGCTCGTGGGTAACAATATCCTTAACTACGTGTGGAAAGTTTCGCGACACCCAACTGATGAGACTACCAATGATCAAAGCTGCTTTTTACATATTTTATTTTTAAAGGGTAGGAAGCAGGGTGATGAAAAGGTGTCAGTCAGGTTTTTTTTACTATAGATAAATGTGTTGTAGTTTACAAGGAAGGTTGGAGTGGCGTGTCTATATAACAGTAGTTTTATAAGGCTGGCGTATGTCTGGACTACACAGTGTTGTATACATGTACGTGTTGTTGTAGTCCACAAGGAAGTTTGGAGTGGCGTGTCTATATAACAGTAGTTTTATAAGGCTGGCGTATGTCTGGACTACACAGTGTTGTATACATGTACGTGTTGTTGTAGTCCACAAGGAAGTTTGGAGTGGCGTGTCTATATAACAGTAGTTTTATAAGGCTGGCGTATGTCTGGACTACACAGTGTTGTATACATGTACGTGTTGTTGTAGTCCACAAGGAAGTTTGGAGTGGCGTGTCTATATAACAGTAGTTTTATAAGGCTGGCGTATGTCTGGACTACACAGTGTTGTATACATGTACGTGTTGTTGTAGTCCACAAGGAAGTTTGGAGTGGCGTGTCTATATAACAGTAGTTTTATAAGGCTGGCGTATGTAAGGAAATTGATGAAATGTGACAGGTTAGTGAACTTTACTGATTATACTATTGACACTGAGTGACAACGGGTAATAAGGAAACGTGATGTGAGGGACTATAGATTTAACCATGTTATGGATGGTTTGTCAATGTGTGGAAGTGAATAAATGAAATATGACTCGATCTCCATACATTGTTGTGTTTGTTGTTGGTCTGCAAAAATAACAGCGTCATGAAATTTTTGTGAGTGTGATTCGCTCTCAGCTTTCGCAGTACTTTCCACATTAACAGTATATAACAAAGCTCACCATAAACAATGTAACTGAGTGCCAGTCTTAGACAGTGCTTGTTCCTCACCAAATTCCATGTCAAGATTGGTCAGTTTGTTTACTCAAGTTGATCCAGCTGTTAGGACAGCATCTTTGGTTTTGGTAACCTGTCAAATAACCTAATGACTTATTATTGCAAGCGAAACACTGTTCACCTACGCAGTGAACATGCCAGTACAACAGCATCAGTTGTCAGGAATACATATTAACATTACTCATTTCAATATGCGCTTATGGAATGTCTGGCTTTTGATTTCATGTCAAGCATTTGAATTTGTGAAAATGACAAATGATGTTATTCAATCGAGCTACTGTCCCCCCATATTATATCATGTCTACAGTCTTGGTGTTATCGTTTGGTGATTTGTTTTAATAGTTGGAGGGAGGACTACTTGAATTATTTTCATGCCACTTTTTAGGAGTGGGTCCAAATATATTAATTTCATGATTTACAGACTTTCCAACATTCATAAGGATAAAATATCTGACAGTAATTTATTCAAATTGTGTAGCAATCTCTGCTGTATGTTCCACAGTATGTGAAGGAAGTCTTTCTAATGGCTGGTGTATTTTCAGCTACTCAACTGAAACTACAACTCGTAAGAAGGTCTTCTATTCCAACTCCTTGATGCGCTCAAAGCTGACGCCCGATAATTCCAAACTCATCATCACCACCGCTGGGGGCTTCCTCGTTATCATCCATGACCTTGACCTAGCCAAGTTATCAGATGACCTCAGTGGGTTTGAACCAAACATCTATCGTCTGATGCAGCTGAATCCAACAAGCAGTGGCCTTGCACTGATGTACAATAAGGTGTTCGAGAGAAAGAGGAATCGAGTTGAAATCATCAGCGACTTCCCGGCAGAAAACCAGGCTGAAGTCATAGCTTCCCTCCAGGTAGAGTTCAGATCCTTTTCATGGGACAGATGTTAACTCAGTCTCATAAATCATTACTTTGATATTATAGCTAAAATGGATAGAATTCTCATGTTATCAGAAATGAGTGCACCTCTGTAACTTTATAATGCCCTCATATTGCTTGACGACGGGCCATTATCACGCCCGTTGTCAGGTGACGTCATAGGGATAGGGGAAGGTGACGTCACGTTCAATAGTGATGTCATCTGGTTTGTTCTATGATGTTTCCATATCTGTAAAGGTGGGTCAGTGACATTCGTGTTGGTTGCAGTACTGTTTCAAAACCGATTTTGTTGTTTCTTTTTATTTGATAACAAATTCCATCCTTTTTAGCTAATAACGGAAGACCTCATGTTTCTGCAAATGATAATGCTCTGAAAAAAGCGTTACCCTTATATTATCACTCTCTGCGTGGAAATCTCCAAGGAGGAGCGCTTCAGGTGACGTGCCTACCCTTGCAATCCATGTCAAGGCTTCTGAATTCTTGATACGAGTAAGCGAAGCATTAAGAGAAACATATCTGAATTCTCAGAATGAACAGTAATGACTAGTTCTGAATATAAACCATATGGTTTAGAATGCTGCCGTCTGATTTGTTCAAAACCCATGCATTTTCATTTAGATTGATTCATCATAGTTCGCTAAGGGTTCACCAGCGCGACCTCCTATATAGGTGTCCGCAGATCTTCATGCAGAGATGAGGGGGCATAGGCGGCCAATCTGTCTAAGGCGCTGCAGTTCACTGAGCAGAGTTGCCTCCTTTGGGCACGCCAGAAACAATGATCGTGCTTTAAATGTACCTGCATCATTTTGAACATTAAGCTGATAAAACTAGAAGGATTAACCTTAACTGATTGAATAATACCATTTTTGTTTACAGGTGCACCCTCAAGGCTGGTGTGTGGTTTCCAGGAATACCAGTGCTGATGAAGAATCAGAGGTACTCAGCTTGACTTTGTTTCACTGTGTTCCAAGTTTGATAAGTGCTGTATGAATGCAAGAAATCTCCCAAAACAAACATGTTTGCTACATTTGGCTGTAAACCCAGTCACATATATAAAACTTACAATGTATACATGTTAAGGATGATTCACAACCTTGCAAGGATCTGCATATGACCCTCCCTTTTAAAATCACTCACACACCCTCCCCACTCAAGATATGAATTCAGAATTTTAAACACGCACACAGACAACATGATTTGGTTCAGTGACAATATTCATTGTATATGCTTTACTGTTGATGTTTTTAAATCTACAAGCAGTATTTATTTGTATATTGCAGACTACTGTTTAAAACCAATGCACCCAGACACCACATCCTCTCAGGGGCATGGGTGGTCTAGTCGTGTAAGGTGTGTCAATTCGCTGTGCAGAGTTGTGTCCCTTGGGCAACACACCAGAAACCTATGATTGTGGGTTGGAATCTGGTTTGGCCCTGATGATGTTTCTAGGTTTGTCAGCACCATACCCGTTCTTTTGAGCATCAAAGTGGTTAACGTCTGAGACCTGCATCACCTCAGGCATTCCTCCCACATAAACCTGACATGCCGTGATATAACTAGAATGCTGTTAAAACAGGGTTAAACCCAACTCACTCACTATATCCTCTCACCCTTTGCTACAGACTAATACAGTAAAGGTGTGTTTGATTTCCTTTCAGTGGACATGCATCCACAATGTACAAGAAGTCAGCGAAGCAGATGCTCCACCCAGTCCCAGTCAAGCATCAAATCAAGAATCAGATGACATCAGTGACATGAGTGAAGCCGCCTCCAAAGCTTCTGATGCCCAGCCAGGCTCCTCATCAAACAGTGTCGGGGATCATTACTTGTCAGGATGGAATATCCTGTCCCGAAGCTTGTTGTCATCCAGCATCCGTAGGTTCGGGCAGGTTGTGTATAGGGATGACATGGACGATGACGAGGGTCAAGACTTTGACCGGTTCCCTTCCCTCAACTTCCCCTTTGAGGATCGACTGCAGCTAGGTAACAGGGTAGATAACTCTGGAGAGTCACCATTGTCTGAATCAGGATCATTGTCTCATGATGAAGAAGAAGAAATCAGCTTACGACGCAACTGTTTAATCAGGGGAGGCAACTCTGTGGACCCTACTGCTTCAGAAGATGATCAGTATGCTTCAAGGCAAATTGACAATGGCCGAAGGCGTTTCGTTTTAAATACTGGACGAAATAGAATGGCAGGGGGCGCCTCAAACAGACACAATAGGACCTTCAGCAATAAGGTCCATAAAAACAAACCTAGGTTATTGCATTATGTTGAAGAACCCAATGTGGGAAAGGGCTTTCTTAAGGAGTTGTGCTTCAGTACAGATGGCCGAATTGTCGTCTCGCCATTCGGGAATGGTGTGCGCTTGTTGGCTTTTGATCCCTGCTGCCAGGAACTCTGTGACTGTGTGCCAACACGACCAATCAAGATGTTTGAAGTTGGCAGCAATATTTCCCACAGTAATGTGGTTGTGACGACCAAATTCTCTCCTGTACATTTCATGTATGTGTCTGGCTGCCTTGGAGGCAAAGTGGTTTTCCATCAGCCTGTTTTGTAAGTGTAAAGTAATTAGGTGTAATAGCTTTGGACATTAAAAGTGGTATGAAAATAAATAATGATCTTTTTTTTATCCATTTATTGAAGAAACATGAGAGGCTGAAGTTTTCCGAAATGAAAACTATGTCAAAATGTGTGTTCATACTCACACTTTTGCTCCACTTATAATTCTGCTGTAGTTCGCTGTGTAGAGTTGCTTCTCTTGGCTGCACAGACTGTTGGTTCGTCAACAGTGGACCTGACACTTTCTTCCCACATCAAGCTGACACTGCTGTTAAATGGCTGAAGTACTGTGGCTTCATTCTCACCACATGGGTCTAGGGGACATGTCGCAGTAAGGTTAGGGTTTTTAAAAGGTTTTGGTATTTCACTTTTTCAAAAAGGATTCATGCTGTTATAACTGAAGTTACTACATGTGCAATGATTTTATGAGATTTTGGCCATGATCAGTCAGGGTGAAGGTCACCATTTAGTTACTGTAGGTGGCATGGGTGACTCAGTCTTCAAAAGCACCACAATTCACTATGCATCCAGGGGGCACGGGTGGCCCAGTCGCCTAAGGCCCTGCGATTCACAGTGCAGAGTTGTGTCCCTTGGGCACCCAGAAACCTATGATTGGGGGTTCGAATCCCTGTTCGCCACGATTATGTTTCTAGGTTTGTCAGCACCATACCCCTGCTCATGGGTTTCACCAAAGTGGTAAACATCTGAGAACTGCATCACTTCGGGCTTTCCTCCCACATTAAGCTGACACTCTGTTATATAACTGGAATACTGTTATAAGCATAGTTAAACCCAACTCACTCACTCACAATGCATCCCTTGGGCAAGCCAGGAACCTATGATCATGGGTTCGAGTCCCTGTTTGCCCCAATTATGTTTCCAGGTTTGTCAGCGCCATACCCATGCTTTGGCTTTCTCCCAATTTGAAAATGTCTGAGGCCTGCATCAGACTCCCCCCTCCCCCTTAAGTTAACACAGGTGATTTAACTGGAATACTGCTAAAAGCCACCTTCAACGCAACTCACTCAGGTTACTGTAAAACCTGCTTGTTATAAGAGGGTACATAACATCTGGGATCTGGCTGTTATTGCGTCTTCCAACCTAGCATTGTTCATGCAATCAACCCACCAGAACTGATCAATGCTGAAATATAACTCACTATTTAACAAGTTGAATCAGGGCAGATGCGTGTTTCCAAACATCATTAACTTTGACAGGAATGAAATCTTTTGTGCGTGTCGGGTTACACATACCACAATGAATGGACATATCTGGCAAAATAATAAACAAAATAAACATGTTTTGGTTGAAAACATGTCACGAAATTACGTCTGGTGTAGATTCTAATACCATTATCAAACAGGTTTTGTTTGTTTGCTGTTTAACGCCGCAGTCAGCAACATTTCAGCTATATGACGGCGGTCCGTAAATAATCGAGTCTGGACAGGACAATCCAGTGATTGACATCACGAACATCGATCCACGCAATTGAGATCGATGACATGCATCAATCAAGTCAGCGAGCGTGACCACCCTATCCCATTAGTCGCCTCCTACGACAAGCATAGTCGCCTTTTACGGCAAGCACGGGGTGCTGAAGACCTATCCTACCCCGCATCTTCACGGTTCGTTATCAAGCAAGTGAATACTGTTACGTCAAAACACGTTCGTGAATATGCCACGTGGAATATGCTAGGATGGCGAGGATCGCCTACCCCTGTTTACAAGGAAAATACAGGTTTGAACTAAAAGTACACGCAACATTGTCAATTAGGGTCAGATCACTTCAAGGCCAGTTCCTGTGTTCAAAGTTATTTAAAATAGTACATTTGTGAGAATAATACTTGAATCCTACTTGAGTGGTGTTGATTGAGCGACACGCCTCTGTGTGTAGCACCTGTATATTGACCGACCCCAAGTGTTTGTGCGTCGGATACGGAGACGATGCTATCTCTTTCTGTGCCGTCCACGTATTGTTAACGTTATTATCCAGATGGAGCAGATATTTACCAAGAAATACACTACACTGGACCATCCAAGTTAAGGAACACCACTGGGCAAGAGACAGAATGTATGGGAATTTCAAGATATTTGTGATTGTGAATGTTTTATTAATGATTTTAAGTTCGGTCCGAAATTGTAAGACATAGACATCATATTCTGGTGTCAAGGTGTTAAAAAGTGAAATTGTGCTCTCTATTAACGGGTCGTTGTCATTGGAGATATACTTGTTAATTATGATGTATCAGGAGCACACATGCATGCCTACTTCATTAAGGATGGGTGATATACACATTATCCATAACACAGGAAGAAAATACCTTTATGTAATTTGTCTGGGGTCTGGGATTTCATGTAAAAAATGATTTTCCCCGAAAATTCGAGAAAAAAATATTATGCTTCCGACTGTTAATTGCCTGCCACAAAAAATACGTTGTTTGCGAGATGTTTTGCTTTAAAAACATCAGGCTCATAGTTTTAAATAATAATTTTTTTTCTGGTTTTGTATATTTGGTCGGTCCCAAATCTATCCGCCAAAAATCTCATAAACGACCAGGGTGTTCAGATATGGTGAAAAACATTGTAGACAACATGATCCACTATAGTGAAACCCCGGTATTCCGGACAACCTTTAAAGGGAAATCCTGTGTTTTTATTTGTGAATTCACGATCAAAGGATACGGAGTAGCCATTATATATGACGTGTATATTTTCGAAGCAGTGATCGTCAGTCAGGTGGGATGGTTCGACGTTTGGTGTCCGAACTAACGGTGAGTTCCCGTTGTGCTCACAGTACTAATACGATCATTTTACTGTTGTTTTGATGTGTGTGTGGTTGTTGCATGGAGGTGCTGCGAGTTGTGGTGAGTAAGGTTGTGCTGTATGCTTGTTTCGTATTGTCGGGTTTAATTGTGTGTGTATGTGTGTTGTTTATTTGGGAGTGTATATGTGACAATGGAATGTTACTTGGTTAGTGTCTTTGTATGTGGTTGATGCTTCTTTTTGTGTAAGTGGGAAAGGATGTGGTTGCGAGTAAGGGCGTGGATGAGGACGCGGTTGATAATGTGGATAAGAGTGTTGGTATGGATGCAGGAATGGGTTCAGGTGAGGGTATGTCTGAGGAATAGGGTGTGGGTGAGGGTACAGTGTGACGGTGTGGGTGAGGGTACAGTGTGGCGGTGTGAGTGAGGGTAAAGTGTGACGGTGTGAGTGAGGGTACAGTGTGACGGTGTGGGTGAGGGTACAGTGTGACGGTGTGGGTGAGGGTACAGTGTGGCGGTGTGAGTGAGGGTATAGTGTGACGGTGTGAGTGAGGGTACAGTGTGACGGTGTGGGTGAGGGTACAGTGTGACGGTGTGGGTGAGGGTACAGTGTGACGGTGTGGGTGAGGGTAAAGTGTGACGGTGTGAGTGAGGGTACAGTGTGGCGGTGTGGGTGAGGGTACAGTGTGACGGTGTGGGTGAGGGTACAGTGTGGCGGTGTGGGTGAGGGTTCAGTGTGACGGTGTGGGTGAGGGTACAGTGTGACGGTGTGGGTGAGGGTACAGTGTGACGGTGTGGGTGAGGGTACAGTGTGACGGTGTGGGTGAGGGTACAGTGTGACGGTGTGAGTGAGGGTACAGTGTGACGGTGTGAGTGAGGGTACAGTGTGGCGGTGTGGGTGAGGGTACAGTGTGACGGTGTGAGTGAGGGTACAGTGTGACGGTGTGGGTGAGGGTACAGTGTGACGGTGTGGGTGAGGGTACAGTGTGACGGTGTGAGTGAGGGTACAGTGTGACGGTGTGGGTGAGGGTACAGTGTGACGGTGTGGGTGAGGGTACAGTGTGACGGTGTGGGTGAGGGTACAGTGTGACGGTGTGGGTGAGGGTACAGTGTGACGGTGTGAGTGAGGGTACAGTGTGACGGTGTGGGTGAGGGTACAGTGTGACGGTGTGGGTGAGGGTACAGTGTGGCGGTGTGGGTGAGTGTACAGTGTGACGGTGTGGGTGAGGGTACAGTGTGGCGGTGTGGGTGAGGGTTCAGTGTGACGGTGTGGGTGAGGGTACAGTGTGACGGTGTGGGTGAGGGTACAGTGTGACGGTGTGGGTGAGGGTACAGTGTGACGGTGTGGGTGAGGGTACAGTGTGACGGTGTGGGTGAGGGTACAGTGTGACGGTGTGAGTGAGGGTACAGTGTGACGGTGTGGGTGAGGGTACAGTGTGACGGTGTGGGTGAGGGTATAGTGTGACGGTGTGAGTGAGGGTAAAGTGTGGCGGTGTGGGTGAGGGTTCAGTGTGACGGTGTGGGTGAGGGTACAGTGTGACGGTGTGGGTGAGGGTACAGTGTGGCGGTTTGGGTGAGGGTACAGTGTGACGGTGTGGGTGAGGGTACAGTGTGACGGTGTGAGTGAGGGTACAGTGTGACGGTGTGGGTGAGGGTACAGTGTGACGGTGTGGGTGAGGGTACAGTGTGGCGGTGTGGGTGAGGGTACAGTGTGACGGTGTGGGTGAGGGTACAGTGTGACGGTGTGAGTGAGGGTACAGTGTGACGGTGTGGGTGAGGGTACAGTGTGACGGTGTGGGTGAGGGTACAGTGTGACGGTGTGGGTGAGGGTACAGTGTGACGGTGTGGGTGAGGGTACAGTGTGGCGGTGTGGGTGAGGGTACAGTGTGACGGTGTGGGTGAGGGTACAGTGTGACGGTGTGAGTGAGGGTACAGTGTGACGGTGTGAGTGAGGGTACAGTGTGACGGTGTGGGTGAGGGTACAGTGTGACGGTGTGGGTGAGGGTACAGTGTGACGGTGTGGGTGAGGGTACAGTGTGACGGTGTGGGTGAGGGTACAGTGTGACGGTGTGGGTGAGGGTACAGTGTGACGGTGTGGGTGAGGGTACAGTGTGACGGTGTGGGTGAGGGTACAGTGTGACGGTGTGGGTGAGGGTACAGTGTGACGGTGTGGGTGAGGGTACAGTGTGGCGGTGTGGGTGAGGGTACAGTGTGACGGTGTGAGTGAGGGTACAGTGTGACGGTGTGGGTGAGGGTACAGTGTGACGGTGTGGGTGAGGGTATAGTGTGAC